GTGTGTGTGTGTGTGTGTGTGTGGGTGTGTGTGTGTGTTGTGTATGTGGGTGTGACAAACAGACAACCAACATAACAGCGACTGTGGAGAGAAGCGCTAATGTTTCAGCATTATTATGCAAATGTTTGGGTGATGCATATTCCTCCACCTAAGTGGATAAAAGATCAAATGAATGTTTAGTTTAAAAAAAAAACTTTTTTTTTCTTTTTCATTTCTTCAAATTTGCAGTAAACGTTCAGCTCTTTGTTTTTATCAATGTCCTGTTCAAACTGATCGATTGATGTTGAATTAATTACTAGTTGATATGTGTCAATAGGTAATCTTAATTCTTATGTTTATTTAATAAAGAAAATAAATTATGCATCTGTAAGATTGAAATACAAAATCGACGATAAATGAGAAATGCTTATTTTGGCTAAAAAATTTTTTCACCTTGAATAAACTTTTAGGAATCCGTTACTTTTTAGCATTTCTTTTGATTTTTTTCCTCTCCTTTAATTATTCAATTTAATTAACATTTCCGATTACGACATATCTAATTTCACATTTCTGAAACTATAATTTATTTCAGCCCAAACTTTCACTCATCTTGAATAAATTATATAATTTCATTGTGTAAATTGATAATGTTTGTAGAATATTATGTGGAAATGAAATGACGAAAATTGTCGAAAGCTAAGATTCAACAAATCTAAAAATTCTATGCAATAATTTAAAAGTAAATTTTCTGATGTGTCATCCATAATTGGGTAATTCTTGGCTCTAAAATGTGTCTCTATTTCTTTTATTGATCCCATATTTTCATCCAAATGCGTTGAATGCATTTCCATTCATTTTGATTAAACGACAGCCAAACAAATATTATTTCGGCAACTTTTTTTTGAGATAATATAAACAAAACAACGATTCCTTCTTTAATGACATTTGCGCGATTTAACTGTTTACAAGTGTCATCAAAGATCGACTACTGCTTTATCAAGCATAATCAACTAAATGACGAACTGCACTGAAAAAAAAATTAAACACTTGAAAATCATACTGACAAGTTGAAATGTTATAAATCGAATTTTTTTAATTAAATTTATTTATTATGTTTTTGAATGACGAAAGCAGTGAAAAAAAGCTGTTGAATGGAAAAATTTATTTTGAAATAAAAAAACGAAATAGCAGCAGTGATTGCAATAAGAACCGGAGAAATTGGCATATGATTTGATAATATTGAAATTGAAATTCTACAATTTGAGATGATATGAGTGATATTAGCCGCTTTTAAAACGATGTAATTTTCTTTTGTGTAATTTCTTTTTACTTCTTTTATTCCACTTGATTGTTTATTTACATGATATTTATGATATGCAACTTCCCAAGCGTATTTTATTTGCAAATTATTTATGCATATATTTATGATTGTTACCCGACTGATAATTAGGAAAAATGTTACTTAGTTAATAGGTTGTTCTATTGTTAATAAATATTCTTTTTTACTTTTTGTATCTTCCACGGAAAACTTTGCACATTTCTTTCATCAATCTTTTCCACTCTTCTTATTATTTACTTTCTCCTTCATTGTTGAAAAGTTTCTTAATTGCTGATTTTATGAATTTGTCATTCAAAAGAATTCGTTTGTCATTTTAAATTTTCGTTTTTACCTATATAAAATGAATCATTTTTAATCGCATCAGAGGTCACTTTAATGCTATTAAATTGTTACTGCATCACCTAAAAAATTTATCTTTTTTCTACGACAATTTTCTGTTCATGCAGGAGAACTGATTAAATTTACGAAATTACTCGTTAATGGCCTTTAATGTTTCGCAATTTTCGTTATTCGAAATGTAATAGATCTTTTCGGAATCATTCTTTAAAATGACAAAGCCAAAGCTTTTATCTCTAACTTTTTTCGTCTTTTAATTTAAGAAATTTAATCTATGACTGTCATAAAATAGTTCAAATCGTTCATGATAATGACGATCTAATGAAAAATAAAAAAGGAAAAGAATGTCGTTATTCGTGAAGGTCTATAGAGAGAATGAGAATGAAAGGGTTAGAAAGTGGAAAATATGCGAAATTAGATGAGAGCTTTCGCAAGTTTCCATGAGTTTTCGGCATACATCTCTCCTGAGAGTCCATAATAACTGGGACAGATGAAATATCAACATCCTCGCAAGCGACAGATATTTTGGACTTTCTTAATGCTACGCTACTCCAAAAAATGCTGTCACATTAACACAGATTAACTAACCTACTTGTCTTTCTATCTATCAACTTCAAATTTATAACGACTTTTTTTAATTTAACTTGCTGATAGTTTATAGGATAAATATGGCATGTTACTTTTAACAAATTACAAGTGTAGAAAATTTAATGTTAGAATAAAAATGCTTGCAAAAGTTACAAAATCATTAAATAAATTTAATATATTTGGTATAAGAAAAAATTCAAGAAAAAAAGGTTACTGCACTAAATGTCCTAACAATGGAAATTAAAATCTTAATTAAGGCTTTTTTGAATAAACTTTGATGCATTGAATGTACTTAGATTTAATCAAAGATAAAACTATGCCTTTGTCAAGTTTTAAATCAATTCACTGAAGCATAAGAAAAAGCATAGACATTCCTCCTCCCCCGTCCCTTCTCATCATCATCATCATCATCTCCTCGAAACAACATCATTTTGTTTATGAGACGGTTGTAAGATTGCTGGAGAATTAGAACTACAACAAGCTAATGCTGCTATTTTATGTGAAGTGTCGGAGAGAGTTACCGACAAAATCTCTTCCATAAGCTTTCTTAATAATGAATTACTTAACGAACTGGTGATCCGTACGTAACAAATAGTTTGTCTATTATTGCATACACTTAGTTGATAGCCCATCTTTGCAACAATATTCTTTTATTTCACTTATTTCTCTCTCAATACTAATTCTTATTGTTTTTGGTAAAATTTTTGACAATTTTTTTATGTAATTTCTACTATTCTATTGTTGATTTGATATTAAAAAAGAAAATTAAGTTGTCATAAATAATTTATGGATTTGTTGCAAAGTTAAATGTTTTTCAGTGAATTGCTAATCAAATCTTTGAAGCAGTCATTATTCTTATTATTTTTTCTTGAAAAGGCCATTTGTGCTTATGGAGGAATCTTTGTTCTACTAATTAACATTTGTTAATGAACATTAGTGAAGTGGAATATAACCAATCATCTATCAAATAGCCACTTTTTGTAACATTTTTAATTTTTATAAACTTTTTTTCTTGTTTTACGAATAATATACTTTTTTGAAGAGAAGTGGCAGTAGCAGTAGCTAGAAGATTGATTATTAAATACCTTGATTAAATGAGTGTATAGATCATTGACAACAGCTTTATTATGTTGTATACAATAGTTGTGAAATCCATGCTAACATTTAATTCAGCATTAGTACCCTAGCAAAACAAGCTCACAATTCCAACTGTTCAAATATATTTCAATCTATAGTTAGTAGAAAGTTTATTTTAAATTTATCATTGAATATTTTTCCCAGCACACATTGATTTTCGTACATGTAACGCCAAAAATTTAATTTCAATAAGACAAATTTGGTTTTATTTTGGATATATTTTTTTGGGATGTACTTTTAAATTCCTTTTTTTAACTTTAGTTTAGTTTCAAAAAATCTTTTCTTGGAAGTCATTTGTTAAAGATGTCCAGAAAGTATTCCAAAAATGCTGCAAAATATGGAGAGCAGAATTGAGGCATATATCCATCCCAGTGGTTCTCTCAGTACAAAGCTTTTAGTTTACTTTAGCCGATAACCCGAATGAAATGTCAGTTCGATAATAAATAACAATAAATGGTTATATTGCTGTACATATCTTCCAATCTGAACTCGGCATTCATGACTTTTCAAATTTATTCCCAAGGGATATTCGGGAAAGATCTGTTGATCCACAAAAGCACCTTGATTATCTCAGTTCTCAAATTTACTAATTTTAGAAAATAAAACTAATTTTTCATTCAATATAATCATTTATTGATCATATAACCAACTTACACCTGAATTTAAACCATTAAACTCGATTAATGCAATGGAACTTTAAGATACTGCAATTATCATTGCTTCAACAAACGACAATTTGACGGCAATTAGATTAATCCCTTCGAAATGTTCGTATGCAATTCAAATCAACCATACCATTTCAGAATTACCAAATTTAATAAACTTTTTGGCACAAAGCCAATAACATTTGAGAAGAAGGGAAAAAATCAACTTGCTTTTTGTTGAAATTATTACATATACATATATAATCGATGATCCACTATTGATTATGAATTGACGTAATTATTACTACATCAGTTCATAATCAAGAAGATTTGAAGATTGCTTCGAGACATATCCTTTCGTCTTTGTTGGTATCACCAACTGACTTGAAAAAAAAATGTCCTTTCCCTACAGTAATAGCTTCAAAATATGCACGTCTTTTTCTGTGCCGTAGCAATAATTTGACAATATGCAAGCATTTTCCATTGCCTGACATTGTTCGAATTTGTTTAATCTCTCGGAAAGCATTCTTAAATATCTAAATTAAAATTCACTACACCACTACTTTAAATTTTAATCATTCCGTGAACTTAGTCTACCAAAACAATGATGATGCTCTTAACAATATTTTGTATATTCTCTTAAAATTTAGCTATCTCTTTAATTTGAAGCAAAATTTAGATTTGCATTTATAGATAAATTAGTTCTATAAGAATTGATTACTACCTTTTAATTTTTAAAGAATTCTTAATTTATACTGTAATTAGTTTTTTTCTGAAGTACGAATTCACCAATATTTGCTATAAAAATAGCAAATATTAGCGAATTGAGAATCAGATGCTTACCACAGATATTAATCTGGGAATATTTAAACAGAAGCTATTAATTAGTTTTTTTTTCAGTTCAGATCAAATGAAAAGCATTGAAACTTATTTTATGTGCATTTACCTCATCTAAATTCTATTTTATTTATGTCTAGTCTAATTTAACTCGAGCTCATTTTCCAATCCACTGTACGATTTCATTCAATTCATTTCAAACTCATTTCAGTTTCATTTCAGCTCCATGAAATTCAATCAACTAACTCTGCTTTACTTTAATTCTGGTCTATTCATTTGCTAACATTTTACTGCCTTATAATATAATGAAACTCTGACGAATTATTTTTATTTTTCAATTTTACGTTACTTACGTCATTTACTTTCTTTTCTATCTTCGTGAAGAAAGTATGTACTGCCTAATATGCTTATTACTAATGGGACAAATATGGCTTGGCTACAGCCAAGACTGCCAGAACCTACACCGCGTAAATCGAATACCATTAACAATCGGCGTTTTTTTACCATACCAGTACAAACAGGTGCTGGAATCTGCTGTTAATACCGCCCTGGAACATATTCATAATCAGTCCTGTATTCTCAATAACTACTATTTGAAATTGCATTTCAAGGATACTGAGGTTTCGTGATAATCGTTTTTATCAATTTCCTTGGTTTAGTTAATTTTATCATATCATTTTTTTTGTTAATGCTCAATCAGTCCAGAATATAATTTCATTTTACACACAATAGCATATCCGATAAGACAAATTTTTGAATTTAATTTGATTATTTTTGAGAAATTTAAATTGATAGTTTTTAGATTTATCTTTATTTTGTCAGTAAGTACGCCTTTGAAATTTGTCCCTTTCATCAGGAAAAAATTCTGTAGCACTCCATATTGCTTCAAATAAAAAATATTTTGGAAAAAAGTTATGCAAAGATAAATTTCAGCAATTAATTCAACTAATTTCAGCTCTTTTTTAAATTTTACTTCAAAAATCTCTAGGAATGGAAGTGTTTGTATATTTCAACTAAATGGAAATTAAAAACGACTAAAAAGTTTAGTTTTGCAGACGCTATAATAAAAAAAATTGAATTGATCCGTTTATTTTTTAGAAATTTTAATTGTCGATGCAAATTCAATTTTTCAAAATGAAAACAAAATTTTGGAGAATTAGTAGCAAAGAAGCCTGCGAGTTAATATTCAAATTTTCGAATTCATTGAGACTTTTCTCTCCGGACGTCATAATGACTCGAGATATTCCTTTTCATCCCGATATCTGATGGCTGGTTATGGGAATTTGTAGAAATGTGATTTTTTAAGAATTTCAAAAATCTCAAAACTTATACTAAAAGTTAACTTTAACTTTCCGAGTATTTTCTAAGTCAATTCATTCATTTGTCAACGCAATGAAATCTCATAAATTATAGTGTAAAACGTCATTCGGGATGAAAGCACTGTTCGAACTGATGAACGGACATCCACGACCTTTTGCGCTTTTCGGCGATGCTTGCACGAATGTAAACGAAGTTGTTGCTATGGCGTCAAAATATTGGCATATTTTACATTTGTCGTATGCTGAAATACATGCAAAATTTGCTACGGCGGATGCTCAAGAAGTTCGAATTTAGCAAATTTAACAATAAATATTTAACCATCGATCCGAATGCAGTCGAAATAATTGACGATCATTGCTATCATATCCTTCTTATCAATCGGCCAATGAGATCAGTACTGATTTGCATTAGGCACTAAATTGTATGGTACCTTCACAGGCATTTCCTAATGTGTCTATTACTTTTCTCCGATTTATTAGTAAAGCTTTCAATTAAATAGGCTAGGGTCAAATCAAATAAACTAAGATCAAGTTAAAAATGAAGTTGAGAATACAAAATTGTTAATAATCCAACTTAAAGTAAGAAGTCACTGCAAAAATAGCGTGTTGTTTTTTACTTATAATGAATGCTATTGAAATCACTTTTAAATTTTCTCTAAAATTTCAAATTTATAGTGGTAGATTAGAAGCAACTCCTATTATTTATTTTTTTCTTTTGCTCAACTAATTCAATTATTTTAGTTACAATGATAGTCAATTTTATTGGTCCATTTAATTAGATGATAATTTTCGTGTCAGTAATGCTGCTAGTAAAATGGAATGTTCTCAAAAGGGATTAACATAAATTAGTTTAATCTCATTTAATATTTCAACGACATCAAATCAAACGAGCCCATAGTAGTTAATTAATTAGAGCTTCGATGAGAGTTACAGGTATACGAACTTTTCCGATCAAAAAGGCAATTTTTTTAGATTATTAAGATCTGTTTAAATGTCCATTTTTTGTCACAAATAGCAATGCAAATTTTTAAAAGGAAGTTTTAAAGATTAACGGAATTCTGCCTCGCTTTAAAACAACAGTGTATTTTTGATCTCATATTAATATCGCATTTATTCAAAATAACACGAGGCGAGGGATCTATATTTACTTCACTTTTGTTTATTAGAAATTTTTTTCTAAGGAGCTATAATGACATACAAATGCTTATTATTTAAAGCGATTTAGTATTGAAATTCTAGATGTATCCAACATTTTTTCGTATGGTACCAGGATATCAGAATTCAAATTTAGCACGATGCCATCTCATTTTTCAATTCAATTGGACTCGTGTTGGCACATTGAAACAAAGCGATGATCCGCGTTTTGCATTGGTAAGTGAAAAATCAAAAAGTTTAGAAAGACTTGTTTAAAGATTAAAAACCAGAGAAATTTGCCAAAATTAACTCTAATTTGTCTAACGTTGCAAAATAATGAAGATTAGTTGAAGTAAGCTAGTTTTACTAGTGGAAAAAGTAAACACAGCCATAGATCAGAGCTTTAAATTTTGCTAACAAAACTTGCCAATAGGTTAAGAATATCGAAGTAAACAATACACTCTGATGGCTTTTTTCACTTTTTTAACAAGCTTTTCTAGTTTTTTTTTTCATTATTAGAAATTTCAGATGTTCCTTATCCCAAACATTTTAATATTTCAAGCTCAGATCACAATTTTTTCTCTAAAAATTTCTACAGTTTTTATTATTAGCAGAGAAATCATTAAATGCCGCATAATTAATGAAATATATAACTGAATGACACTTTAAGCCACATGAATCATTAACAACACGATTAGAGCATGGGTTTGGTATTCGAGTGATATATACCGCTGGAATTACACATGATGAAATTCAAAATATCGGTTATGAACTTAATGAATTGAAGGTTTAATTATTATCCATTCAAAAGTTTACTTTTTTTTTTATTTTTCACCAATGTAACATTCATGACAAATTTGCTTGAGGCGATAAAAATTAAAGAAAATAAGGGGCAATCATTTTATGAGATGAAAACTAATCCTAAGACTAAAAAGGAATGAAAGAATGAATGAATAAAGACTTTAAGAAAGACTTTGAGATATTAAGTTAAAAATAATGAAATATCAAAAATAGCTCACGATCGGAGAAGAGATTTATTCGTACTATTTCTTGCTAATTATCATTTTGATAAGAATTTTTTAAACGTTGACATTTTCTTATTCAGAAACGTGACGTTCGAATTCTCATCGGTGATTTTGAGGAATCACTAGCTGTACGAATATTGTGTGAAGCTTATCAAAATGGTATTTATGGTGAAAATTACGCCTGGATATTACCTGGTTATCATAAAAGTAAATTTTTGATCAGCTGTGATTTAGCTAAAGATCAACGTAGACCATCAACACGTCCCATCCACATATGTAATGCATAATGGAATTTACGTATATCTATTCGATACATTAAATACATACCTTTAAGGACTGATCATAGCATTAAATAGTGAACAAAAAATGCTCCAGTGTGCTGATATTTTTTTTCAAAAATTTAAATAAGATTTAAACAAATCAATAATTAAGATCGAAAGAAAGAAAGCTTAAAATAGGCCGACAAAAGTTTTAATAATAACATTCAAGTAATTATTATGTATTTAATTAAACACACAAAGCACGATTAACAGAGGTTTTTTTTTCATGCATAAATTTATTAGCTATTATACGTAACCAGTCAAGGTAAAATAGGAAGAACTGACCTTAGAAGTGTCGTTCTAATCTAATAATTTGAGAGTGGAAAGTTCTTCAGATATAAATTAACGAAGACTTTTTTAATCGTAACAATAGAATATATACTTTGAAGGCTGAAATTACTGACTTGGCCTCTCATAGATTTCCCTTTACAGATTTAAATTGTATCCTTACTGAATAAATATATTTCCGGAGAATTAATCAGAAAATCATCAATTTCATATTTTTATTGCAGAAAGTTTAATCATTGCATAGATTACAACAAATAAGTGAATGATTTGCGTCGAGAATTTGTATCGATGCTTGGTTGTGTCCAACGTCAACTACGTTATTTAGTAAAAAGTATACTGCATCAAATGTCTGAGTACAATACAGTTTTAATCGTTTTAAGTCTTGTTTTCGTTCGAAACTGAATGTTAAATATGGAAAAGGGAATGTTCAGGTGATTGGTGGCGTAATGCATCTGGAGTTAGTTGTACAGTTGAAGAGCTCGCGCAAGTAATTGAAGGTCACTTTGCAGTGGAATTTTCACCCTATTCACAAAGGCTTGCTCGACTTACCATTGCCAATAAAGTTAGTTCACTTGAGATGATTAGATTCAAATTTGTATTTATGTACGAGCGATCTAACAGTTGAGCAAATAGTAAATGAAGTTTCTAAATTAATTGAAGTACATAATTGCATACTCTTTGTAATTACTTGTCAAGGTAAAGGAATTAATTGATGAAATGATTATTCAGACAGTGTCAGCAATTCGAACAGAGCTTAATGCTAGACAAGAATCATCACCGGAAAGTGTCTTCAAAGGATACGTATATGATGGTCTCTGGACACTTGCTTTAGCTATTGAACATGTAGCGCAGCTTCATCAACAACGAGATGGAATCACTTGGATACCAAACGTGAACGATACAGAAGATTGGGCTAAACTCAGTGCTGAGTTACTGCAAGCTGTCAGTAATACCTCATTCGTTGGCGTCACTGTAAGTACAAATTTATTAGCGTCATTGTTTTCTTCGATTTTATATATGATCGTTGATCATTGTTTGTTTTACTCTTCGATTACAGAATTATCACATTAGCAAATGTTTTTAAGAATGCATACATTTTTTTAATTTATTATGTTATCATTAATTTAGTATTATTTTTTCATCATTCAATTGTAAGGCAGTAAAAGTTCACTACTTTAATATGTAAATATTATTTTAATAACGATAAATTACATTTGAAATAGACTTTGATAGAAATAAAAAACTCAATGAAATAGACTTTGATAGAAATAAAAAACTCAAATTGTGTATTCTTTGCCAGATTTTTAATAAAATTTATTTTTGTCAGGGACCAGTTCGATTTGAAAATAACGAACGACTTGGATTAGTTGAAATTTTACAATGGAGAAACGGATCGTATATAATTGCTGGCATATATGACGGTACAGAAACTGTTCTCACACTCAATCCTGCTCTTAAAGGTATTAATATTAATTTGTTCGATTGAAGAATTTTCTGTTTCATTGAATAATTATTGCAAGTGATGAGATGTATTTTCGGTGAAATAATAATAAAATATTTAATATGGTTTGTCAATATTTCAATCAAAAAAACAACCATAAATTATTTTTGAATTGAAAAACTTTCCTAATATGGACTTAAACGCAGATGCGGTATAAATAAATTTAATTTGATATTTAGATTGGATACCACCGTTGGATGCAACAGTTGTTGTGCATGAACGTCAATATATATCATTCGTGTTATTCATCCTGCTATCATTACTTGCTATCATTGGTGTAGCAATAGCAGTTTTCTTTCTTATCGTTAATATAAAATATCAAAATCATCGGTAAGTTAATGTATAAACGGTAAGAAAACATTACTTCATTTACTGCTAAGTGTTTATAACTTTTATAATGAATAGAAATTGAAATGTTTGGAAAAGATTTTAGCATAAAATTAAGAATTTTAATGACATTTATATTAATTGCTCATTGTCATGTAATTTCGTTTCGTTATACGTATACGTAACATAACATGCAGTACCGTACTGTAAGTCATGCATGCAAATATTGATTTCAATATTTTTCAATTCCTTTTACAGATATATCAAAATGTCATCACCAAATATAAACAATTTAATCATAGCAGGTTCCATTTGTACCTATATTAGTGTAATTCTGCTTGGCTTCGATACACGTTTTGTTTCACCGGATACTTTCGTTACACTATGTTATGTATGCTAATTACTTTTTTTTATTTTTTCCTTCTCATTCAATTTATTATAATTTAATATCGACAAATATCATCATTTAATACTGATAACTAATAAAGGAAAAATCAAACTCATCCTTACAAACATCTCTCTACATTTGAGAAGTATGTAGAATTTTTGAAAACTTTTTGATTTGGCATCTTTTTTTTGTTGGAATAAAAAACTTTTCCTATCCTTCTCTTCCTTCATTTCTTTCCCAATACTTTTGCAAAATTTCTAAATGCTAAAAAATATCTTTTAAAAATTTTCTGTTCATTAAAAATCTATCATTTCTGGGTGAAATTATCTGAATAATTGTATATTTCAGGTAAAAACATGGGTTCTAAGCCTCGGTTTCACACTAGCATTTGGATCGATGTTTTCAAAGACTTGGAGAGTTCATTCGATCTTTAAAAATATTCGAATGAACAAGAAAGCAATCAAAGATTATAAATTATTCATGCTGATCGGCTTCATTGTTCTCGTTGATTTGATTTCATTAGCCTTATGGGCTCGTATTTCACCTTTCACCTTTCATGTCTATCAATTAGCAATATTTGTAAGTCTATCCATTATATATTTTTATTATGAATGAGTGTGTCTGTCCTACATACTCAGACTGAAAACATTTTGTATGTCTATCATACATACTCAGACTGAAAACACTTTGTATAACTTCATAGGTAAAGTTTTATCCAATCAACTCAAACAAAACCAATTAAAAATTCCTATTAAAATTTAATGTATCCTAATCAAAACTGATAAAATAAAATGCGCAACAATATAATTATTATTCCTTTATTTCGAAAAAATTGCTAAAAGCATCCACAGCAACACATTAGTCAAGTATTTAAATATTTCAGTATTCAAATAACAGGATGATAGCACCAGAAATAGAACGTTGTCGAAGTGATAATAGCGTCATTTTTGAAGCTATTATATTGGGTATCAAAGGCCTTCTTATGGTTAATCTCTTATCATTTCCTTTATTATTTTGTTTCGGTTTTTTCAATTCTATTATTTTTTATAAATAAAACTCTAAAACTGATCTCATTTCTAGCTACTTGGCTGTTTTTTGGCTTGGGAAACGAGACAAGTAAATGTTCCTGCATTAAATGATAGTAAATATATAGGAATGTCTGTTTATAGTGTTGTTGTGACATGCTTACTTGGCTTACCGCTCGTATACATATTACAGGTAAATTTATAAATTGAAAGTCAAATTATGCCACATTACGTTATTATATACTTTGGAATGCAGTAATAATTTTACATTATCGATGATAAATTCAGTCACTGATAAAAGCTTTTTTCCATAGATAATAATTTCATTTTAGGATCGGGTGAATGAAGCACATATATTGGGAAGTCTTTTTATTATATTTTGTACAACTTTAATTCTCTGCCTCGTTTTTGTTCCAAAGGTAAGGTGAAATTTTCTTAATGCTTTTTTCTGTAGAAGTTTTCTTTTTCAATTTTACTTAAAAATTAGGCTAATAAATAATCAGAAGGACGAAATTTGACCAACTCATTCTCAAATTTTCCATTTGGGATTTCAAGAACTGATCTGATATTGATTTTGATATTGAATTATTCATTGATTTAATTTAGGTAATCTTGATTAGTGATATCGCAGTCGAAGAGTAAAAATTTAATTTATAATAATTTTTATCATTTCAGATTGTGGAACTTCTTCGAAATCCTAAAGGCACTGAGTTACGTTATCGACGTGGTTTAGTGAAATCTATGCTTGGTCGGGAATTACAACAAACTGCGCAGAATAATGAGTTAGTTGTTGACTAATGGTCGTAATATTCAAGAGTGCTCTATGCGAATAAATCCAAAATTTCTTCCAAACTCTATCAAAATTCTATCATCCACTATAAGATGAATTAGCGAATTCATTAATTTTCATTACTTTAGAAAGTATCATTATCATCTGAAAGCGCTATTGGCAGTTTGAGTTACAGTAAAAATTGTTGCGCTGTGCTCAAAATTTTAACAGCTTAATTGAAATTCAACTGTAATTTTTGACTTCGGAATAATTGTGATTTTGATCAATTTAACCTTTCTTATTTCATTTCGCAGTTAATTTTTGCTTTTTCAATGAGCTATTTTTTAGCCAAACAAATGTCTTTAGGCGAGAGAACCTGCAACGTTTAGAGGAAGAGAATATATTATTACATCGGTATTTACTTCAGGTAAATCTATCTGACAAAATACGTCATAAGAACTTTATGATTTCAAATTAAGTTCACATTTCATCACTATATTACTGCTTTTTGAGCTATCTTCCTTTCTGATTTCCTCGCTTACACTAACATCAATTGCTGAGAAATGCGCTTCACGAAATCTGATCCCTGCCATCAGTTATTGCTTAAGCATTGCGGTGGAAATGTCATTTGCATAGGGAACAATTGAATTTTCACAATGTTTTGGATGCTTAATGAGGATAAAATTCAATGATATACATATATATATTTTTAGAAGACTAGTCTACTATGGGAATTACAAAAGCAATTGAAACAGCTTGGAGAGTTGGAAGATGACACAACTACGCCAAGTAATGACGGTTAATTGGGGATTTTAATTGGCTCGAGTTTGATTTTAACAGTAACACCTGACAAACATTTGTTGCTGATGGTGTTTTAAAAATTCCTTCTAAATTTCTAATCAAACTGATACAAAAATAACTCTGATTTTATTAAAAAATAGCCTGACTGATAACATTTTTTTAAGATTAATGATGTTATCAATGTCACTACGGGTATTAATTCGTAAAAAAATAAAAAATACGATGAACTATTTATTTGATACGTTAATTTGGATTATCAAATAGTACAATTCATGATAAACTTTCTCTTTTGTTGCAACATTTTTATACGTACTGAAATATTGTTTCTAAAATTTTATCCATTTTCCTTGCAAAAGGTATTCATTTTATTTCATCAATTTTATCACAGATAAATTAATGACAATGCTTGACGTAATCTATTTTAAAAGTGAAATAAACACTAAGACGATAAAACAAATCACAGCGAGAATAATTAAAATATACTGAGCGATAAAAGTTGTGTAAGTCAAATCATTTGATTTTATATAAATTTTGTTTTAATGATTATCAACACAGAAACAAACTATTAGTAGCCGTGAAAACATATTTCGAAATAATACCAGTTTATTAAATAATTAAAATAAAGATACTTTATTATAAAATTCATTTCCTTCAATATTCTAGTATAAATTATTAAAGTTACATTATTTCATACTCACAACATTTACTTTAACGTTTCCTTTCTCAGTTCGTCAGAATCTAATTAAACAACAGTTAATCTCACTTATTACTTTTGCTGCAGTTGAATTTTTATTGCCCTCTTATTTTCTCACTATTCCAGAAATTTGTCCAAAAAAACGACTGAACTAATGCGCCATAAGTGAGTAACGCCAACATTTCGGAAAGCATAAAAAGGAACAAAAGAAATTGCACAGACAGACGGCTAATTGCTTACAACCGCTTGACGTGATATTTTTACTTTATCGCTGCATATTATCAAAATTAATGCATAAATTTCCCGAACAGTAGCAAAATGTGCTAAAAAATGATGCAGCAATCTTTTTACTGAAAAATCCTAAAAAAAAGAAAACTAAAGTTTCATTAATTCTTTGAGTGATCAAAAAAATTTGAAATTTGAATAATGTTGCGAATTATGGTTCAGTGTAAATTGTGCAAAAATTTCAAGCGGTCGATCTAAATTAACTTATTATAATGCCATATGTGACTTATTAGATAAGTGAAAACTGCAGATCTTCCAAGAAATTTCATAATGCGATAGATGTTTTCAGTACGTTCCTTAACTTTGATCTATGTTACTCTGATAAATGAGGAAAATAAGTGAAAATGTGTTTTTCACATTTGATGGATGTGAGAGATTTCTCACATCCATCAATGTGAAAATCTCTCAAATATGAATCTCTCACATTCGATTTCAACAATGATCAGTCATCGCGGAACGAGCAGTTATCTTTTTTTATCAGTGAAAGTGTGAAGCTAAAGATGATAACTGTCGGGAAATCCGAAATTTTGTGATAAAATTATTCATCACATGGACTGAGAATGAGGGTTAGGCCGAGAAGCTGCGCTTCACAAAAATTTTGTCTTTATTGAAATTTGTAACACGACCTCTCTGTGTTGCTATAATATCATTGAGATAGCTTTACCAGGCCTGTCTCTTACGTGAGAAGAATACAGCCAACACGTAGTCATAAACTCTCTCTCCCCATTATGTATTATTCTGATACGGTCCAATATTGGGTACATAAACAGTGAAATGCTCGATCGGACTCCTTTCGCATTCTTTCACATCTTTCAACATTCATACGCTTATTCGCCTAGCAATTATCATTATATATGCTGCTATCCGTTCCATTTCGTCTGTTGAATTATTCGGATATAATTCCCAACTGTAAAATAAATCTTAACAATAATTTATCTGTAAATCAACACCAATCAAT